GGCGTTTTTTCGTGCCGACGCCGCCGCTGTTCTGAGGCAGCAGGGAGGGAGCGGTGGCGGCCGCTGGACCTTCTGCGCTCTCCTCTCTCCCTCTTCTGTCGTCTCGGCTGGGCCCCAGACTCGGGGGGAGCGCCTTCTCCGCCATGGCCACCAGCACCACGGGCTCCACGCTGCTGCAGCCCCTCAGCAACGCCATTCGGCTACCGATAGACCAGGCGAGTAGTCCACGCGCGCGCAGGAAAGCAGCCCCCGTAGAGGGAGAGGGCGAGCCGGAAGGATGGAGTCCCCTTAGCCCCGCCGTATCCCGCCCCATCCCCCTCGCTACTGCATCTCCAAGCCTTCCTTGCCACCCCCGCCCGCTTTCTCACAACTGCACCCCACGTTGCACATCCCAGAGTAGCAGCATTTTTACGTTCACAAACGTGTATCTGCGTTACGCGCAGAGCTCTTCCTTTCCTGTGCTAAACTATGTACAAAGGTCTGGCACGGTGTGTTGATGAGAAGGACGTGATTTATGTGAACATTCATCTTTCTGTATGTGCCGTCATGTTCTCAGGGTGTGTATATTTGCTTGCTTGCCTGCCATTCAACCCTTTCCCATAATTAAACATATGTCATGTGTAACCTGTGTTGTTTTCTGAAATACAGAGGAAATGTGGAAGTTAAATGCCAGTTCAACTATCTATATGCGGGTGATTAAAACAGAGTTTACAACTGCATGCTCGGAACCAAAAGTCTTGAACTGTATTTTCAGTGGTGAGAAATTCTGGCTGCTTTAAAACCTGTGATAAGATTCCTGTCGATCCCCTCGAGGGTTAGGATTTCATCTGTATCGGTTTGGCCTAAAGAAGACGTGATAGTGGCACCTCTCAGTGCCTGACCCTGAGAGAGGGGTTTGGGATGCTAGATATTTGTAGAGCTTTAACAATTTGCAGTTAATAAATGGACTATGCTGTATGAATAGCACATACTTATTTTGCATCTTTAAATAATTGCAATGTATTCTGATATTTACAGAGGAATAATGTCCTGGTATCTATAGCATGCTTTGTAGGAAAAGCTGCAAATGCTAGGTGGCTGTAAAGTTCATAAACATCACAAGTTAACTGTCCCCCAGAAACAGAGGCACACAAATCAAATTTCGTCCTACTCTGGATGATTAAAACACACAGCAAAATCACTCTGTCTTTTATCATGTGTACATCTTATTGAAAGTGGTGTGTTTTGCCGCATAGTGCAGAAATTATAGCTGTGAAAATCTTAAAGTTTAAAACCTCTTTAGGTACTCCATAATATTAAAAACTGTTTGCAGGAAGCCAATATGGATATGATTTTGCTAAGGAAAATTAAATAGAAAATTATCTTTCTTTCCACCCCAAACTGTTTCTGATAACAAGTATTTAACAATACAAAGATCATCTTTAACAAAACCACTGATAATGAAGAACAGGAAAAGGAACAGGTAGGGAGATAACACAATTTGTTGCAATATTTTCTGAGTAGTGTTTATATGAGTACCACAAGGTTACTAAAAAATAATTTGAATAAAGTGTGACTGAATCACTTTTAAATTCAGCTGCCGTTTTATTTACAAGTGCTTAGCTGGATCATTACAAAATAATTGTATTTTAAAGAGATGGAATCCCCAATATGTGTGTTGGAATATAATCACAATGTGTACATAAGTGAATGTTGTTGATGGATACTATTAAAAATTAGGATGTTTAAATTCCATTAATTTCATTGGAAGGTAGGGTTTTTTTTTGTTTTTTTTTACAGAGAACAATGGAGCCACAAACTCCTTAGCTTGGATGAAAGTTCTTATGTATTGTATGCTTTTTTCACATTGAGAAAGTTTGAGCTACATTGTATTTTGTAAGCTTAACTTGAAATAGGTTGCATCCACTAAGTTTAGGTTCCCTCCCCACACTACTAATAGGGCAGGTATTCAAACAATTGACTATATCTTGTCAAAAGTGTTTTATACTTTACAAAGAGCATTCACTGTGAGTGTATTAGCATTATATCAGTATTTTTTGCAGACACAGAAGTATGGATGTTACTAATATTTGTCTGCTGAGTGTTCAGGGACATATATATCATTCATACACCTATCTTATTGGTATTTCTTATAATAAAACTGCTATGGAAAATAAAATTCTCAATAGTAATAAGGACTGAGCTTGTAATTTGTTGCAGAAATACCACTGTTCAAAAAGTGTAGGTCATTTGCACTAGAACTACCAGATCTGGTTTGCAAAGATTTGAATGACCACTAGATGGCAGGAGGTAGTTAAAGAGATACAGAAAACTCTGCTACCATCTAGTGCTTGTCATCTAGAGTTTTGCTGCCTAATACCAGTAGCCTTGCTTATGCGTATTTTCTGTCAACATTGTTTGTAGATTATGTCTAAATTTTGTGGTAAATATATTAAAGTATTTAAAAATGGCTTTTTAAATTATCTTATGGTGGATAAATAAGTAGCGATATAAAAAGTCTTCATCTCCAATGATTATTGAAATATAATTAACAGTTATGATGCTGAGTACAATATTTAAACTGTCCAAAATAAAGAGCTTTATTTACTGTCTGCGAACTTGTTAAAAGCTCTTGTTAGAGAAGTCTTAGCAAGTCCTGAGTTGAATATACATTTGTGACACTCCCCTGCAGAGAGCACATCTGTATGCACATGCATTCATGGCTATAAATGGAAGTTCTCTAGGGCTATTTTTTAAATGATTGAGTTGGACACTGATATTGTTTATACCAGCTACATACCCCATTTGGGCATTTTCATTTACTGACCCCTTTAATTCCTGTGCATTCCTTTATCAGTATCCTTGGCTATCTTTGGGGGCAGTTTTTATGGGCGATTGTGCAGTAGCATCCCTTGCTCCTGACTTTGGATTCATATGATTTGTTTTTTTTCTTCATTTCCTGTACTTGTTACCTTGAATTCTTGCTTCCTTTATATCTTCATTTCTCCATTGTTTTAAGCAGCAGCAGCAACATCAAGGTAAAGATTTAAAGGACAAATAATTGTATTGTAACCTAAACTGTCTCTTCCATTTACTGATTTTGGGGAGTAATTCATGCTCAAGCCAGTTATGAACAACTAATAAAGAAAGATTTATATTGCCATTTTCAGGATGGCACTCAGTCTACATGTAGTAATAACTGTTGGGATATGGCATAGATTGAATTTTGTTTCTTTTTGAATCTGCAAATAGTGAATAGTCCAGATATTAACAATTTTTGGGTGGCACTGAGAAGAATGAGTAGTGGTGTCTTACTTTTATCTGTGATATATAGTGCAGTGATGTTCTTTTCCATTTGCTAAAAAATAAGTTCTCCAGTTCACATGTAGTAATAACTGTTGGGATATGGCATAGATTGAATTTTGTTTCTTTTTGAATCTGCAAATAGTGAATAGTCCAGATATTAACAATTTTTGGGTGGCACTGAGAAGAATGAGTAGTGGTGTCTTACTTTTATCTGTGATATATAGTGCAGTGATGTTCTTTTCCATTTGCTAAAAAATAAGTTCTCCAGTTCAGTTGAAGTACAACCTCTCCTTTTCGTAGTTTGCTTGATATCTGAAATTGCAATGTAGGGTTAGTCCCTCTCTTTTAAAATAGAATCTGAACATCTGGTTTGGTTCTTTTTTCTGGTTTGAAGGATGTATGCTAAGCATACTTTGTCATTTTGGGTATCAAAATAAGCTATGTGATGCTTAGCATTAGCATCTAACCTAATGTTATATTGTATTGGTCTCGCAATTCCAGATATTTGTAGGACTACTAATTATCTTACAAATTAAATCAAATTTTCGCTAGGGTATAGAATTGTGACTACTTTATCACAACTGTGGATGATCTACATTGGAAACTTGAAGAAGGTACAACCTTATTACCTTTGGACTTGCTGGCAGATTTCAATCCTGATGGTTATAGCATCTTTCTGGTTTACCTGCAGAATCACCCGTTGGAGCATTGTACTTTAATTGCACCAGCTTTTTCTGCTGGATTATGGCTAGGAGAGATTATCTGTTTGGCACCATGGTTTGTTTGGCTTATAGTATTCTATAGGGCTATATGTTTTTTCTCCTGTGTTTCATATCCCCAAACTTTTTGGCACATTTAATACTTTAAGAGCATGTTGTGTGTACGCAAAGAAAAAGTTGCTGTAGTAAGTTTGCCCATTTGCAAAATGACATCCTTATAAGCCGGTGTAGGCTTTTAAGATTTACAGGAGAGTTGTATCTTCTTGGGCATGTGGGAAAAAGGTATTAACTTAGATCGCTCTCAAATAATGGGACCTGGTTGGAGTTCTAATAGGTTGTGAAATTTCCAAAAGGGCGCCAGGTTGCACCTTTTTAATGTACCCTCTACTTTATTAGTTTTCATGTTCTTCTAATATATTGTATTGCCCTACTATGTGATTATTTGAATTGATTACATTATTTTAATAGTACTCAGAAAGGTGGTATAGAATGGTGGGAAGCTAAGAGAAAGTATCTTATCTTAACTGAACAAGAAGTTCTGAAAATGGAATACTACATGAGAAAGACAAGGAAGTGACGAACCATGTGAGTCATTAATTTTTAAGTTAAAGCGTGCTTTGGAAGGCCACTTGAATTAAGGTTCTGCATCTAATGTAATCTGGCTAGAGTTATAGTAATGGAGAAAGCATCACTTTTCATTAAGAATATGCTTATTAGTCATTTTCCTTATGGAGCTGTAAGAAACAAAATTAGGCAGATATCATTGCTTGTAATAATATCTGTTCCTATAATATTTTCTGCATTCTTGCTGTGAGTTTAAAAGGCAGAGAGTTCATGGACAGACACATGATACATGCTTATCAGTGATACAGTTTTTCAACATTGTTAAAGATATTTGCTAACTAGATTCTTGATCTGTTCCGTTATTATCTTTCCCCCCTTGTGCCTTTGAGTCAGTCTTGGCTTCTGAGCAAGTCCCTGCAGTTTTCTTGGCATTTTTAGAAGTGGTTTGCCCTTGCCTGCTTCCTAGGGCTGAGAGAGTGACTTGTCCAAGGTCACCCAGCTGGCTTTGTGCCTAAGGCAGGACTAGAACTCACAGTCTCCTGGTTTCTAACCTGGTGCCTTAACCACCACACTGGACTGGCTCTCTATTATGATACACTGCTTTTAATATTTCTTGTTCAGCGAGTAGACTAATATTATGGATGCAA